CCATCTCCCCGGTGACCAGACATGGGGAGTCCCCCAGGTCCTTCCCTGCCCTTCTCCTTCCTCGTTCCCACAGCCCTGGCCTATATTTCCCATGGGGGCAGGAGAGGCTATCTGAATTGTGTGATATTTGGTTCAGCAAGATGACATTGTGCAAATATCCAGAGAGAGCCATTTAAGTATTTCTTACTAAGGTGTAAATGACTGATAGAATGAAGCAGAGAAACATCATGGCACTAGTTGAAGAGCAAGGAGGAGGAAGAAGGCAAAGAAAGAAGTAGCCAGGTGCCAGAGACAGCTGGAGATTTTAGGGTTGTTGAGCACTGGCTTGATCCTCGAGGCCCCACCTTAATCCTCTCCCCTGCTCCGATTCCCGGTCCAGGGAGTCAGGGCTGGGGTAGAAATGAAAGAGGTTAGTCCTGGGCCATTGGGAAGGAGAGGAGACAGAAACTGTTCAGAGAGTGAGGCCTGGGGGCAGGCCGGGGGTCCCCAGTTGGTGATGTCTGCCTTCCCCATGTCCAGTGTGGGTCAGCGGCAGCTTGTGTGCCTGGCCCGAGCCCTTCTTCGCAAGAGCCGAATCCTGGTTTTAGACGAGGCCACGGCCGCCATTGATCTGGAGACCGACGACCTCATCCAGGCCACCATCCGCACCCAGTTCGAGAGCTGCACGGTGCTGACCATCGCGCACCGGCTCAACACCATCATGGACTACACCAGGTGGGGTGCCCAGCAGGGAGGGGCTGGTGGGGTCGCCTGGGCCAGTGGGAAGGTTATCTGGACGAGGGAGAGAGGTGTGACCTTGGGCAATTGGATGAACCTTCCTGAACCTCAGTCCCTCAGGGCTACAGTCAGAGCCAGTGACAGGAGATCCTGGGAAATGTCCGGTTCCTCCCCAGCTCCTTACTGGAATTCTCCCGAGGGCCATTTCCTCAGAGGATTAGGAAGGAGGCCTTGTCCTTGGAATCTATGGCTTCTTTGGAGAGGCAGCTCACTCGGCCAAACAGAAAGACCGTGACCTACTCCCTCATGGCGCCCAATGTCAGAGGGCGGTGCTGAGAACACGGGGAGGGGCCGGGTGACTCAGATGCCTCATGGGAGTGAGCCGTGCTGGCCCAGCGGGCTGGCCCCATGGAGGCCTGGGAGCTCAGAATGCAGACGGGGAGGCAGGACCCGGCCACAAATCTATGGTGAAGGAGGAGGGTGCGAGTACACCGCCAGACCTTCATTCACAAAATAAACACCCACAGGGCATGGGCAGGGGGAGACCGTGCCATGGACGGGCCATGGGCAGCTGTCGTCCCTGTGTCAGAAGTGTCCCCACACAGCCCCAGGCGCCTGGGCACCAAGCTGAGAATGCCCTATGCCAGTGATGGCGAACCTTCTGAGCTCGGCGTGTCAGCATTTTGAAAAACCCTAACTTAACTCTGGTGCCATGTCACATATAGAAATCTTTTGATATTTGCAACCATAGTAAAACAAAGACTTATATTTTTGATATTTATTTTATATATTTAAATGCCATTTAACAAAGAAAAATCAACCAAAAAAATGAATTCGGGTGTCAGAGGTTCGCCATCACCGCCCTACGCTGTCTGTTCCATCCCTGCCCCACCCTACTCCCCACTCCACCCAGGACCCCACTGGAGAAGAGAAGGGAGGGTGGGCAGGAAGTGCTGGGCCCTGGATCCAGGTAAGGGACAAGGCTGGGCTGAGCGAGTCTGTTTTTTGGGCCCAAATGAGAATGGTTTCACCAGCAGCTCTGCGGGGAGAAGGCTCAAACTGGCCTTGGGAGTGGTAGTGGGGCTGACAGAAATTAATCGAATACCCATTCGACTGTCCATGTAATTAGACCCTGCGGGAAGGCTGCAGGGGTCCGTGGGGTGGGGGCACAAGGAAGCCCATTTCCCCAGGGCAGCCAGGACTCTTTCTCTCCTAAGGAAGGGAAGCCCCAGCCAGGCCCTAATGGATGAGTAGGAGTTGGGAGGCGGGGGAGGAGATGGGAGAGGGAGGATGCTGAAAATGTCAGGCCAAGGATACAACACGTGCAAAGGCCCTGAGGTAGGAAGGCACATGAGGCTGAAGTACAGAGAGCAAAGAAGACGGTGGAACCAAGATGAGGGCAGAGAGGGACAGGCCTTGCTATGCTGCACTTCCAGAACCAGGGGGAAGCATCCCATGCCCTACATGTAATGAGGAGGGAGAGGGCAGTCTCCAGGGCTCCCGAATGGGAAGTGGCCAGGCAGTGATGTCCCCAGACACACTTCCTCCCAGGACATGTTTCTGGGCGTCCCATGGGTGGGGAAACAGAGTGTGTTCTACACCCTCCCATCCAGGGGCATCTCCCCAGGCTTGGGAGAGCCCTTTCCACTCCTGCCCCACCCTGGGAGCCAGCCTGTGGGCCCTGTACCAGGTGCACCCGGTGATTACCTACCCCAGGCTGAGGTCTGACTGTATGTGTGTGGGTGGGGGAGATCCACCCGGCAGCAGCAGCCAGATTTGCAGCCACAGCCCCAGATTCCAGTGTCAGGGCTCACTGCAGCCCGGTTTCCCGCCGTGTGCCTTTGTGAGTTGGCACAAAGCAGATGGAAGCACACAGGGCCCAGCGCACAGGCCCGTGGCTCCCCCACGCACAGTCCTGTGACCCTGGCCCGGAGAAAGGCTCATTAGGGAAGGTTTTCGGAGCCCCGGCCCACAGAGATGAATGGGAACCTTGTGTTTGATCCCAGAAACCGCCTCATCTGCCAGGAGAGCAAACGGAACGGCTAAAATAGCCAGCCTTGCAAGTGTGCACAGGGGCCGTAGCGGCTGTGCTGAGGGGGCTGACTGAAGTGGGAGGGTTGGCATGTCACTGCAGGGCCTGAGCAGTACCCAGAAGGGCAGGGTCGGGCTACGAGGCCAGGTCTGGGCTGACGGAGACCTGACTGCTTCTCTTTTTTTTGGCCAGGGTCCTGGTGCTGGACAAAGGGACAGTTGCTGAATTTGATTCTCCAACCAACCTCATTGCAGCCAGAGGCATCTTCTATGGGATGGCCAGAGATGCTGGTGTCGCCTAACAGAGATTCCTGGGATTTCCTCCCGGCTGACCTGGTTTTCTTCAGAAAGGAAAAGGACACCACCTATGTCTGCAGAATAAACCTGGTAGCTGGGGGCATTTGTTGGACTTTTGCTCCTGTGAAGCGCTCCGGGGGGAAAACCGTGCGAAATGCGAGGCTCCGGGGGTGCCTGACGCGCCCAAGGTCGCAGATGGTTTGAGGCAGAGCCCAGACTAGTCCCCGGATCTCCTGATTCCCAGTCTCCTGTTCTGTCCCCACGACACTGCTTGCAATCACTCCATGGAGCAACCTCCCTACCCCTAGATGACTTTTCATAGTTTCTATTCTGAAGTCTTTTTGTAAAAAAAATAAAGCTTTTTCCTCCTGAAACAGAAGCTTGCCAGGTCAGGCCGTCCCTAAGAACGGAGTCCTGTACTCTGGAGTGCTGGCCTGAATCCATTAAAAATGGAACGGTGGTGAGATGAAGCTGCCTGATCACTAACACGCATCTCGGGGCAGGCTGTCTCCGCCTGGTCACAGGGGTGAGGGTTCGGGCCTCGGAAGGAGGCGGGGAGGAAGGGGGAGAGGCGGAGGTGGACTTCAGTATACATCTACATGGCTGGAATGATCTGAAGACTTCGGACCCAAGAGCTTTGGGCTGGAAATATTGTCTTCACAGCCAAAACTCACTGGGAAATTGCCAGAAGTTCCCGCTCTGCTGTGCAGATACTATAAAAAGGTGAGAAATGAAGTCCCTGAAATCTGACCTGAGGCCTCTTGGGACAGCTGCTGGGAACACCTCCGCATTTATGTCATCCCTCAGACCTGTAAGCCTGCTTCTCTAGGGGCCGCAAAGTGCCTGGCACTTCATTTCCTCACTCCTTTAGAAGTCTGTTCCAGACAGGTCTCCATAGCCAGTGCGGCTCGGAACCATCCGTCTTCCTCAGTCGGGCTGAAGCTGAAAGTGGGAGGAGCACAGGCAGCCCTGACAATCCCTGGCTGGTAAATGAGACGAGGGGTGGGTTTTGCTTTCTTGAGCAAACCATCCGTTTATTTTCTGTGGGTCAGTTTACCTGCACAAGACCTTCTATTTGGAATGGATCTCTTCTCTCTGTTACTTAGTTTCCTGGTCTCCTCTTTCATTTCCGCAGTCTTCGTCCTTGGTAAGATGTGACTGGTTGTGGGTGACGGTTTGTCTTCTTCCCCCACCCTACATGGTTTGCAGGAGGTGATGAGAGGCCTCCTTTGATCTGGTTTTGCTCTGTGCCTTGGGGCAGCCTGTGCTACAGGACCATTTGTTAAAGGTTAACCACAATTTTTTTTTGGCAGGCTCTTTTGGCTCAGGATGTTTATGAGTGTATGGAAGAAGACTTCCATCCTTGTGATAAAGCAAGTATGAAAGCACAAATGCCCATATTATTCTTCCTCTGCTTGGTGCTAAGAAAAGGTCTCTGCTATGCGCCCTGATTTATTAGATCAATTTGGCCTGACGTCTGCTTTGTGAGACTCTAGCTGCCCTAAACCTACAGAAATGCAGGTTCCTTCAGCATCGTTCTCAGCTGAAGATATGAAGGTGTAAAGCTGTATTTTCCTCTCCTGTCTAAGGAGTTTGTTTCTGAGCTCATTGAGGCCAAGACAGGTGCTGACAGCCCGAAGGAGAGGCTCAGTTGTGTGAAGTAAATAGAATAATCAAAAAATGTAGTTAATAGGATGACCTCCATCTAGCTGGCTCAGCTACTCCGGGGAAATGAAGCTGACTGCTGAGAACTGGGAGGGAAGACTCCGCACAAGATATCTGTCTCCAGGCGCCACTGACAGGGCGTGAGCACCTCAGCAGCAGGATGCAGGAGGCTCAGGTAGGGAGTGGTCCCTCCCATGCGTCCTGTCCCTGGGACTGTCCAACCATTTAAACCCCCTATGGGTAGAAGTAAAGTGCCGTTTAGGAAGCCAAAATGAAAGAATATGGGCTTGGTCAGTTAATATTTAATTTTAATAATACTTGTTATATTTGAACAGTCAGCAATGCACAAAGAAAATTATCTTCAGTGAATGTTTGCCCACAGTATGAACACATGCTTTAAATATGCAGTGGAGGAGGGGGGAATTCACAGTAACAGAGCTAAAAAGAAAAACCCTTTGTTATAAATTACACAAAGCATATAAAAATATTTCTCTGAATGCATAGATTAAGACTTTAGACTCACCTACCAGCAACTGTGCAGTCTTATTCTACGGCCATACATAGAGGGCACTGGACCACAGAGGACTATAGAAGAGACCCGTGTAGGGCCCATCTCTCACCTGAGACGCCAGCCCCTGGCTCCCTCTGTTCCTAAGCCCTGGAAATGCCCGGAGCTGCTCCTCTGTAGGTCACCCCCAAGCGAGCCCTCCACTGCTTCTGAATCGCTAACTGATCTGGACGCCTGGAAGCTTTAACCCCAGTGACTTAGACATGAGTTAATACTGAATTTATTTCTTTCAGGACAGAACTAATCTTATCATTAAACTTTTTTTTAAAGGAAAGGGGGAGAGAGGTTAGTATGTCTAGATAAACTAGCTTCTGATTGGTTTGCAACACAAGGGAGGTTTCTTCTTTAAAGTACCTCAGAGAGAGGGAGTAATAAGTAACCTTTACTCTGCCATGCAAACACTGTACAAGGGTAAGTCACCATCAGCAAGTGCTGAAACACATTCGGTCCCTGAACGGTGACTCCGTGGAGCTGGCCTTGCGAACACCTCCACCTCAGCTCAGCACTGGGGCAGCAGTAGGCCGTCATCTTAGCACCGCATTCTCTTCCCCTGACATCTTCTGCACATTCTCTCTCCACCCAATGAAGTTAACACAGTTAGGAAGTGAAGTTTCTTTGGAAACTATAGGCACTATGGGGAAAAGCTTCTTAGGACAGCAGGGTGCCCTTCAACAGCTGGCTTCAAACCCCTGCTCTCCCGCCTATGTGCTCGTTCTCACATCTGAAGCTACGCTGTTTGTTCAACAAGACAGTGGCTTTCTGTTCACATTAATGACGCTGAAGGAAAAGAATCCTTGAATGCATTCTTCTAAAAATTACTATGCCATGTTCAAGAGTTTAATCAGGTATGTACTTTTGTTTTTCATTTTTCAGAACAAAGCCTGGTAGACTTGCAATTGCCTTTGTGGGGGGTATTGGATTGGTGGGGGTTATGGGAGATCCCTAAGATAAAACAATTTGTTTACAAAAGCAACAGATTTCAGAGTTGTGTAAAAATCCTAATAATTTCAAAATAATCTTTATCTTTTATACAAAAATAAATATCCTAACTCCTTTAGCTCAGTTTCCTACAATAACCTTTAAAACAGCAACAGATTCAGTCTCAAAAATTGCTTTTCATTTCTAGTGGAAAATGAAAGTAGAGAACATGGACAGGCGATGTTTGTGCTCTTCTCATATGGTGCAATTAAACACGAAGATGGCAGGAATCACTTCAGTTAAAAAAAACAAAACAAAACCAAACCCGCGGTTGCTCTTTTGGAAGGCATCGGAGAGCCCTCTAGTGACCACAAAGGGAAGTGAATGCAGAGGTGCTTGTCTAGGGCTTGGCAATGGCCGACTGGAGACAGAGGCGTCATGAGTGTTTACAAAGGAAAAAGTGGGGGAGGGGAAGCTCTTTTGGTTAACAGCATATTTACAATTAGGTAACTGTATCCTTAAATACTTTTCACCTGAGTAACATTTGTAAGTATGTTATATGGAACCTCACAGCCACAAGCCACACTAAACCCATCTGTCCAGCACCTGTGGTTCCCGTTTTCCTCAAGTCGGCTCACATTTCAGGACAGTTGTGAGCGTGCATCACCAAGCCGAGTGCATCCTGGCCCTTCAGGTGCACTGTCAACAGGAGTGGCTAGAAACAGGCTCCACTCTCTCAGCACTGCGGGCCGCTCCCTTACATGCTGCACGTAAAACACCCTGGATATGGAACCGCCGGCTCCTGCCTCTCCAGACCACTTCTCCACTGTTCACAGCGTTGAGCAATCGGTTTATTGTGCACCAAGAGGCTTGGAAGAGTGGCACCACTGCTTGAGGGTCAGGGGCTTCCACCTTGGCAGGACAATGTTAGTGTACACTACTCAGTGGCACCAGCGGCCCTCCGGCATCCAAGGCATTGAGATCAATGGCTTGTCCTTGGCCCAGAGGTGACGCGCTGTCACAATACTCAGTGATAAAAGTCCCTGCGGCATTAGTAAGTCAGTTTTGAAGCTCTCCTGTTGTAGCAAGGCCTTTCTGTCAGTGTGGATGCAGCATTTCTGAACAGAAAATTATTTTCACTTATTGTTAGAACCAGTTCCAGCTCTTGGAAATCTTGGAGTCGAGCAACATCTTTGTCCTAAAACAAAAATAGGTTAATCAGATTAAGAGGAGCCACTTGTCTCTTTCTATTTGGTATGTTGAACTGATATCAGTTTCTTGGCTCATTTTAAAGCCTAAAAACAAACACAGAAACAAAACAAAAATCCCTGCGGCAGGCTGTCAGTGACGGTGCAGGAAAGGCCCAGGGGCGTGAGCTGGTGGGAACGGCGGAAGCCCTTAGCCGCAGCTGCTATCGGATGAGCACACCTTGAAGGGAGAGGCAATGCAGGAATCAGTTTTACTCACGTGCTCTGAGAAGCAGAGCCTGATGCTCAAAAAACCCAGAGATGTTGGGAGGACCACACATGCATCCATGTGGATTTGCCCTGTAATTTAACCTCATTCTGATGGTGCACTAAGATAATCCTTACAGAGCCACACAGAAACAACTGAATGGAAACGTGAATGGTATGTCAGAATATTCTCTCTGGGATCCTACAACTTTCAAAAAGGCCACAAGACAAAGAAACAAACAAAAACCAGCCGAAACCTGTTTGGCTCAGTGGATAGAGCGTCGGCCTGCGGACTGAAGGGTCCCGGGTTCGGTTCCGGTCAAGGGCATGTGCCTGGGTTGCGGGCATATCCCCAGTGGGGGGATGTGCAGGAGGCAGCTGGTCGATGTTTCTCTCTCATCGATGTTTCTAACTCTCTCTATCTCTCTCCCTTCCTCTCTGTGAAAAATCAATAAAATATATTTAAAAAAAAAATAAATAAATAACAAAAACCAAAAAGGCCAATGTCCCTACAGACCCAGTAGAGAGAAAGAAAGCTCAATGATTATGTTTGGAAAACAACCCTTCTCTCCTTTTCTATTACCTTCATTTCTTCAACTATGACTCATAACCGAGGAGGAAGCTGGGTGTGTTCCAAATGCAGAAGGCAACTAACCACTCAGGCTGAGCAGGCCTTGCCTCACCTTTCTGACCAGAGTGTTGGGTAGCTTCCTGATCCTCTCCACTTGATCTGGATCAACACCCAGCTCACAGCAACTCACTCTGAGCAGCTCTTGGTAGGTGAGCTCCTGTCGGTCTAGTTCAATTTCAATGAAGTCATTTTCTCGAAGAGATGGGTTTTGAATCCTCACCTTGAGCACCAGCTCTAGAAAAAAAAGAGGGAGAAATACTAATGGATGGTTCTGGCATAATCAGCCTAAGTAATTGAAGATCTTTTCCAGAAGATGCTTGTGCCACCCAATGAGGAAAAGCCAGGCACCAGCAAGATTTGCTCAAGCCCAGTTCTGGCTCTGCTGGCAGTTTCCTGCACGTAAGCCTGTGTGTGCTTCTAAAGTAAAAGGGGGCGTGGAGGTGGGCTGGGGAGGGGACAACCATCACAGCTGTACAGAGGATCATTTATTTCTGCTGCTGGAACTAAGAAGGTAAAGGCTTAAGAATGGGTTTGGGCCGGGGCCGGTTTGGCTCAGTGGATAGAGCGTCGGCCTGGAGACTCAGGGGTCCCAGGTTCGATTCCGGTCAAGGGCATGTACCTGGGTTGCGGGCACATCCCCAGTGGGAGATGTGCCAGAGGCAGCTGATCGATGTTTCTCTCTCATCGATGTTCCTAACTATCTCTCTCCCTTCCTCTCTGTAAAAAATCAATAAAATATATTTAAAAAAAAAAAAATGGGTTTGGGAGTTAAACTACATATAAGCAGGGAAGGAGAGAGAGGGGAAAAGAAGGCACAGGCAAGATATGGTACGTGAATTACTCTAAAAAGATTTAACAATTGTGGATCTAAAGGTATTTATGAAATATGAAATTCCTTGTATTAAGTGCAAAAAGCTACTAATAAAAATTAAAGTATAATTATGATTTGAGTACAGTGCATTTTACCAAGGGAGGAGCCTTGGCTTTGGGAGTAAACATCTTGCTGTACAAGAGAGTAAGGTAGTGGTCCAAGAAGGATGTGACATGTCCGAGGGACACAAGAACTGGCTTAAAGAAGCGCCCTCTGGGCAAATGTGACATAATTTGAACATCAAAGTAATAGCAATGGATTATAACCCAATGACTAGAATAAGAATCTGGGTTCATGCTGATATAAATGGAGGAGAAAAGAAAGCCCTTCTTTACAGTAGAATACCAACTAGTAAATAGAGAATGACAGGAAATCATATTCTTCAAAATAATTGGCCTGAACTCTTTAAAAATATTGAGGTCCACAATGACAGAGAAAGGCTGGAAGTGTTCCAGATTAAAGGAGACTAAACCAACACGGTAACTAAATGTTATGGGGGGGCAGGGGCAGAGGTGAGGGAGTGAGGATGGCTATGAAGGGCATTGTTGAGATAACTGACAAAATTTAAGTACGGACTATGGATTAGAAAACAGTATTCTATATCAAGGTTACATTTCCTAAATTTGATCATTGTGTTGTGTATAATTATGTAACGGACTATCCTTATTCTTAGGAAAAACAGTTCAAGGTAAAGGGGCAAAAGGCAAACAATTTGAGGAAAGGGAGTTCCTTACTAGTATACTAGTGTTGCAGCTTTTCTGTAAATCTGTAATTATACTTAACATAAATACATTCCCCCCCCAAAACCCAGGAAGGAAAGCTCTGGAGCTCTGGATACTGTCTGCCCATTTGCAGAGGCGGTTGCTGACGAGGAGTTACCTTGCATATTAAAAGGAAACGCTCCAGTGAAGAAAAATGGCTGGAATGCTGGCGCTGGTCCTGCGTATGTCCCATTTTGAGGCTCCAGAGACACTGGTGGCTTGGACGGGACGGGAGAGAACAGTGATCGACTCTGAGTCACGGGTGGCTGACAAACAGGTTTTGTGCTTTCTGGTGTTCTGAGGATAGCAGAGGGGGCAGACACATCCCCATTCTGCACCAGCGCCAAAGAGGTGTGGTCCCTCGGAAAGGCCCCCAGTGGGGGAGGGTCCCCAGGGGGTAGCAATGCAGGGGAGCCGTCTCCAGGGGGTGAGGCAGGGGGTGTGGCAGGGGGTGTGGAGGGGTCCCCATTCTGCAGCGGGGCCGAATCCTCTGCCACGGGGGTGTAGAGAAAAGGGAAAGCTGGACTGGCCAAATAGTTGGGAACAAAGGGCAGGTCTGACTCCTTCATCTGGGGGAGGTTGTCACCATCATCATCCTCTTCCACTGAAAAAGAGGAAAACGCAGAACCTAGACATAGTCCAAAAATGGGCAAGAAACAAGTGTCCTGTGAAACCTAGTGTGCTTTGGTATATGACAGAATTCCATGGTCAGTGTTCTGTGCCTCTTCAAGTCAGAAGAAAAAGAATATTTCATTAGGTTTATGATTACCGTTTTTATCATCTTAAATTTTACAGATTAAAAAACTTATAATGCCTACCTTCCCAGAAACAACATAGAATTACTATCTTGGCACAGTCATACGGTCTTTGCTTTTAGAAGCAGACTGGTTGCTTGAATCGCATAAAGAATACAGCCAAAAAAAAAAAAAAAAAAAGAATACAGCCAATAATACTACCCGTCTTAAATCAGTTTGACAAAATCAAAAGCTGCCCCAAAACTCAGACTCACCTCCCATTATCTTTCTGATTTCTCTCCTTGATGTTAACTGGACTGGCATTTCTCCTTTTGTGGTAAGTATCTCTTTGTCGGCTCCTGATTTTAACAAGTAAGAGACCACCTGACCATGATTGCGTTTACAGGCCCAGTGTAAACAGGTCCTGTCCCAAAAAAAAAGGGGAGTAGGGGGGAGAGTAATTTAAAAAGGAGAGGTGATTTGGGATTTCAAATTCTACACGTTAGCAAATAAATATATGCAAGAGTTCAGCTAGGACCAGGAAACCAGGCTAGTAATCTCAACTTTTCTTTACAGAAAGCAGATGATCAAAATATTTACTATGCTTAAAATTTATTTTTAAATTTCATTGCTGGCCCTTGGGAGAAACTAATTTGTCCTAGGAGCTTTCATTTCAATGGCTTCCAGAAGGCTGACAGGCTGGCTGACTGGATAACTCTAATGGTATTGCTGAGTGTTAGTCTATCAGTATTGCTCATTTGATTGTCCCAATCTCTTTAAAATATATCTTTATATTGGCACATTCCTGTTTTAGGGACTATGGAAACTGGCTTCATATGCATCAATTATCACTTGAAGATGAAATATTATCAGGGAAATAACCATCTTGTATCTACAAGCTTGCTCTGCCACTAAAATGATTACTAGTAATACAGAATATTCCTGTCTGAATCTTTTCCTCTTTTTCTTTCCTTCACACTCTCAAAAAGAAGGGTTTCCAAATTTCCATTTTTATTTTTAAATATATTTTTATTGACTTTAGAGAGGAAGGAAGAGGGAGAGAGAAAAACATCAATGATGAGAATCATTGATCAGCTGCCTCCTGTATGCCCCTTACTGGGGATTGAGCCCACAACCCAGGCATGTGCCCTTGACCGGAATTGAACCCGGGACCCTTCAGTCCACAGGCAGACACTCTATCCTCTGAGCCAAACCAGCCAGGGCTAAATTCCCATTTTTAAAAATGTTGGCTTCCCTTATTCTCTCCAGAAGGCTACAAACACACCCTCATCTGCTTACACGTAAGGCACTGCACAGACTTTAATTCCTAAGGCATTTAAAAATGTACATCAACCACCAAAATTTCAAGAACTCTTCTACCATAGTCATTTAAGTAAAACTAATTCTTTAATATTGTACACATAGGGGTTATGTACACACTGAAGGGCGGTTATTTTAACACTGTATAGAAACATAATTAACATGCCAGCAAATACTCCATCTTAACCGAAATGAAAGGATTCAGAGCTACTAAATTCATACCCAATTGTCAAAGCTGAATGATACCATGGAAGACTTTCTTCCCACTGTTTTGAAATGTCCTCATTCACCAACTCTCTAATTGAACTGAGATAAATACCTTTAGTGCTTATAGGCAAATACAGGTATGGAAAAGAATAGAACATATGTACCATAGTGAGAATTAGGTCACTCACCTGGGAAATATATCTAGAAAGTTTGTTTGGTTCCAGGAAAAAGCTGATTTTACCCTGAGTACCCTGATATTTATGACTTACAGAAAGCTAGCTTGTCTGGCTGGCTGGGAGCAACTCCACTGATGTACCAGAGTGGCATTCTACAATAAATTCATTAGAATTAGGTTATTCAAGTGCCTTTAAGGTGCACTCCATGACCATATGACTACCAATTTGGGAAAAATAAGGCCAGAGTCTTGATCTAGACTTCTACAACATAAGCTCCAGGAAGACAAGGAAGGGTCTACTTAGACATACAAGTGCTTAATTAATATTTGCTGAGTGAGTGAACCAAGAACAAGGTAGGTGTTGTTAGTAGAAGGACCCAATGCATTCTGGGCAAACTGCAGCCAACGGTGTGTTTGTGTGTGGATGTCTGTAGCATAGGCTTGGAAAGTAAATAATTATAATAAGCAGCTCTCAAAAATGAATGGAGCATGATGAGAAAAATATGTTCCCTTTGGAAATAAGTGCTCACTTGCCAGTAGTAAATCATGACAAACTTGTTCATGACAAGCTTGAGAGGAAGGAGGTAATGGACTGCCAGTGGGTCTGCTACTCTGGGACAAACCAGCTAACTAAAGTAGCACCATGTCAAGTGGGGTTAAGTCAGCACGGCTCCCCAGCCCTGTGCCCTAATCACCTACAGTCCAGACCTGTGTGGCTCTGGGCAGTCATAACTCAGAGCCACTGCAACCAGGCAATCTTTTCAAATTCTTCCTGAGCCATTATACTTGTTCCTTAAAGCCAAGGGATATGCATGACACTTAAATTATAGTCGACGTGGGAGTTCTATCTTTGAACCTCAACTCTCTAAGCTTTAAATTTGCAGTCAGAATATCCTATTAGTGCTGGGAAGTATTTCAGACCAGAGGCCCTGGGCATCATTCATCAGTGCTGAAATTGTGGTTACTGAGCAACTAAGAACTGAAAGCAGTAACCATTCTGCTAGAGAGTAAGTATTTGGTTTTTTCTTAGGTAATCTTTATCCAGCACACTGCTCATAAAATAAACACAGATATAATGCTTCCCATGCTGGACATTGGTCTAAAAGCAATACAGATAGTAACTTATTTAATCCTCTCAACAACCCACGAGTTCAGTACTATTATCGATGTTCCTTCCATATTACAGATGAAGAAACTGAGGCAGCCAGCAAATAAATAAGCAAAACAAACAGTATGCTTGCTATTCTCAAGCGTTATGAAGAGTTATAGGGACAATAAAGCAAGGAAAGGAAGTAGGGGATGCTAGGGGTACGGGAGGGGCATAGTGCAATTTTAAACTGAGGAGCCAAAGAAAGGCTCACCACGGTTATATCTAAGCTGAGACCTGAAGGAGGTGAGAAAGCAAAAGCATTTTAGATGGAAGGGAAAGCACAAAGGACTTAAATCAGAGCTGTGCCTCATGTTTCAGGAAAAGCAAGGCCAAGAGAGCAGAATGAAGAAAGCAAGGGGCAAATGCAGAGATGAGGCACCGAGGTAGGAGGATCGGGGGACAGGAGTAGAAACTGTAGGACTCCGTGGGCTCTTAGAGTGAGATGGGAGCCATTAGAGCAGTGGTTCTCAACCTGTGGGTCGCGACCCCTTTGGCAGTCGAATGACCCTTTCACAGGGGTCGCCTAAGACCATCCTGCATACCAGATATTTACATTACGATTCATAACAGTAGCAACATGACAGTTCTGAAGTAGCAACGAAAATAATTTTATGGTTGGGTCACAACATGAGGAACTGTATTTAAAGGGCCAGAAGGTTGAGAACCTGAGCAGAGTGAAATGATGCAAATTCCGTGTTAAGTTAGGATCCCTCTGACTTCTATGTTGAAGAAGACTGTCAGGGATCAGGGTAGAAGTAAGGGGACTAGTTAGGAGGCCACTGCAATGACCCAGGTAATAGAATGGTGGCAACTCTGTGCCAGAGATGTAGTGGTACAGCCGGTGAGAAGTGGTCAGAATTCGCCGACTGAGTGGCTGTGGGTGTGAGGGAAAGATCAGAAGCAAGGCTGGCACTGAGGGTTCTGGCCTGAGCACCTCAGACGCTGAGATGAGGACCCCGAGGAGCAGGCCTGGGGCAATCAGGGGATGAGAGCAGACCAGGAATTCAACCTTTGACACCTTGAGTTTGAGGCGGCGATTAGACATCTGTCCCAATAAATCTCTGAGAAGCTTCTTCAGGTTACTTGATTCAACTTATATTAATTGAGTACTGTTAAAAAGCAAAATTCAACTGAGTAAATTTGAAGAACTAATTGGCTCTATTAAATAATTCAGGATTGCCCTGGCCAGTTTGGTTCAGTGGATAGAGCGTCAATCTGTGGACTGAAGGGTCCAGGATTCGATTCTGGTCAAGGGCACATGCGCAGGTTGCAGACTCGACCCCCAGTGGGGGGCCGTGCAGGAGGCAGCCAATCAATGATTTTTCTCTCATCATTGATGTTTCTATCTCACTCTCCCTCTCCAGTCCTCTCTGAAATCAATTTAAAATTTTTTAAAAATAATTCAGGATTGAACAGCATCCCACCTAGCAAATAGAAGGGAGCTCTGAGAAGCTGTAAAAAAAAAAAAAAATGAAAGGTTTTTAATAGGCAGAAACTGAGCAGGACAAGAAAGTTGCTGATGTAAGACAAGGACGGATCATTGTATTTTTCAGACAAGTGCACTTTGGGAGCAGCAGGAGTCTTACTAGGTAGATAACCTCACTAGTGTTGATGAGGAAATTCCTAATCTGATTAACAGTCACCTTTCTGGGAGGGGCTTTAAACTGCAATAAAGTCTTGGCTTGCTGTCCTTGGGACCTTGGGCCTGTAGTTCCTTTTCTAAACAGCACCTGTTATGTGGCGGGCACTACGGTTAGGAAAGCAGGGTCTGGAGTCCAAGGCTGGGTTCATTTCCTAGCTCCACTAGATAGTGCAACTTTATGACCTTGGGGAAATTACTTCATCTTTCTGGGCCTTAGTTTCCTAGTCTGTAAAATGGAGAGAATAACAAAAGCTATGTCCCTGTGGAGTTGTGAAGACATAATATATGTAAAGCCCTTAGAACCTCGTGCGCTGCTGAGCAAGCTCAGCTGTTTCTATTATGCTTCATCTCGCTGGAGGCTTACAACACTCTCCTGAAATACATAATTGGAAAATGAAGTGACTCTAATAAATTCAAACAGTGAGGCAGGAAGAAGAGCCTGCAGGCAAGCCCAGGCTCCTTCATCTGTACAAGGCTGCCTCCCAGGGCCAGAACAGGGATTCCCAGCTGGTGGACCGCCCAGAAACGCCCAGGAAAGGCACACACAGGACAGCAAGCTCGTCTGCAAACACTTTTAAACAAAGCAGCTGTATCTATTGTCTCCTGGCATTCTCAGCAGCTACTCCCGTTTTTTTTCTTTAGGGTAAGGAGGGAGATAGATTTGTGAGGTCTGGTCCTGGCTATCACATTCATAGTTGTGTTGAGGGCAAGTTACTCTCTGGGGAGGAACCCATCTCCAATGTTCCTTTCAGTTCCAAATGTATGATTCCACTTTTAAAAGATAACATTTGCAAACTTAACTTGAACTCCGAGCTAGCAAAATAGGCAGGATCAAATAAAAATAAACAAATTTAAACGTGAAGAGGGCAGGATAACACATTCAGTAACTGCACACTCAAACTTGGACCACCAGCACATCTTAAAATGACTCCTTACTTCATCGGGAAGGACTTAAGTGCAGGCAAGTATCTAAAGCCTTAGACCAAATTCTCTATTTGAAACTGTAACAGTCAGACAAAGGAAAACACTCCAAAGAATAAATGAATGAGCCTTCCCTCAACAGGCAGCTGAAGGCAGCAGCAGTCACTGCTGCAGAGGGACAACGGAGCAGAACAGCGGTGCAAGTCATTTTTCTTTTCTGCTCTTGAGAAAAGAAATCGTGCTAGTTGGTAAGATTCATCTATGCTTTTGGCTGTACACACGCGTTCTGCAGGAGCACCTATGCCATAGGTCCTACGGCAAAACAATCCAACACCGGAATTGGGGTGAACTCCCAATTAGCGCGAGAACCACAGCCAGCACCCTTCAGGCCAAGTGAGTGGGGGGTGGGGGGGATGCGGAGGTGGCGGGGCGCGGGGGGGTGGCGCTGCCCGGGGAAGACCACGTGGGCCAGGATTTCCGCGCTCCCGACTCCCTCGGGCAGGGGGGCCGGGCTGGCCTCCCGAGCGCACAACCTCGGGGCCCCGGCGCCAGGCCGCGCCTTCGCTGGCGTCGCCGAGGTCCCGGGCGGCCGCCCCACGGCCCGGCCCGCGGCGCTGGCCCTGGCCTTCCCCGCTCCCCACTTACCAGCCGTTGACCTCGTTTTGGGAGTTCACATCCACCCCGCTCTCCACCAGTTTCTGCACCTCCCGAATGTCCCCCAAGGCCGCGGCCTCCCGCAGCCTCTCCTGCTGCTCCTTCTGCTCTAGGCCAGCGCTCATCTTCCCCGCGGCCCAGGCCCCCGCCCGCCCCGGGCCCGTCAGCGCTGCCGCCACCGCCGCCCGCTCCCGGCCATGGGGAGAGCGCGGGGCTGGCCCGCCCTGCTCGCGCCGCCGCCGCCCGCCCGCGCCCGGCCCAGGGCCTCGGCTCCCTCCCGCCGGCCGCCCGCCGCCCTCCTGCTGCTCCCGGCCCCGCGGACCCAGTGGTCCGCCCCGGCCGCGCCTCCCGCAGGCCGGCTCCGGGGGACCCTATTCAGAGTAACAACGCCGACCCCGATCGCTTCCGTTCCGCCCTGGGTCCGGGCCGCGCCGCCTGTTTACGTAACCGCTGCGCTGGGTCTGCCGCCCTGATTCATGCGCTATTTTTAGACACACCTCCCCCCTCCCCACCCTCCTCCCCCCTCCCCACCTTCCTCCCCCCACCCCCGCGGCTCCAGGGAGGACAGATGCGTGGAAAGCGGGGGAAATGCATGTTTGAGAGCCAGGAAAGCTTGATCCTCTGGCGCAGGCTGTTTACCGGGCATCACAAATAATTGCTGGGTTTTTGTGTGTGTGTTTTTCCCCTCCAGGTCGTTTGAGTCTTTCTCGTTATTTGAGCCAACTCTTGCCCAGCAGGATGGGGAAATGGACCGAAAACGATCCTATTATTATATGCCCGTCACTGCAGAGATAGATTACACGGCTCTTTCTTCTTCTGACAGTGCTTGGACCATTTAGTTCGAATATTTATTTCAATTGCCCCGTGGTTTTACATCTCATTTCTCCTAACAGGGATGTCTTCTAGCTTGGCTTTCGGGGGAAATATGTATACTGTGCCTCGAGTCTGTAAACTGCCATGTATTACTGCTTAGAAATCATAATTAGTTACTCTTCATGAAGGCCGTGTAAGGAAAAAAAGAAAGGCCACCAAAGAGGCTTTTTGGAGCTTCGGGGAGAGCTATGGTGCGGATGCAAACAGGATGCTTTCTGCCTGACTCTGCCTGGACAATCTAATGAGGTTCCGCGCACGCGTGGCCCTGCTTTATTGCCCAGCGGGTGAAAAATAAAATCATTGTTGTGCTGAGCGCAGGTGCCTCTGAGAGGTTTTCCAGTGTGGCACACGAGGGCACCTTGCAGATGGGGTCAGGAGGATTAAGGAAATGGCCCTGCAGTGGAAAGGAGGAAGGCCTGAACAAAGAGAGGAGCTGAAACAGGAAGGGACAAACTCAAGGATGGAGTTCTCATTTCCCTCCCTTGGAGCTGCCCAGGGCCCGCACAGCAAGCATTTTTCTTGCTGCTGTTTAAGAAAAGCAACCTGTCTGTTCATTGTGATGGCGGAATCCACACAGTACAGTGTGCCCCCGGTGACGGTGACGGCAGGCTTAAATGGACCCCCGGGGCAACTTGGAACTCTGAGCTTTTTATTTATTTTTATTTGTCCCCCAATTTAAATTTTCTCAGATCCAGCATGATACGTCACCTGAACTGCCTTGCATGGAGCTGAAATTGGATCCTTTAACACAATTTGAGTAACACGGAAGTAGGTGGTAGCCTCTCTTTTTCTCAAAAGCAGTTGTAAAAATTCGGCAGTGACTGCACTCAGAAGACTGTGAATTCCTGTTATAAGAATTTATTTCTCGCCGAAACCGGTTTGGCTCAGTGGATAGAGCGTCGGCCTGCAGACTGAAAGGTCCCAGGCTCGATTCCGGTCAAGGGCATGTACCTGGGTTGCGGGCATATCCCCAGTGGGAGATGTGCAGGAGGCAGCTGATTGATGTTTCTCTCTCATCGATGTTTCTAACTATCTCTCTCCCTTCCTCTCTGTAAAAAATCAATAAAATATATTTTTTAAAAAAAAGAATTTATTTCTCAAATTTCTCTCTCTTAAAAGGATTATAGCATGTGCCCTATAATTGGTGAATCCGTGAATATTAGTATCTCCTTAAACTCATCCTCTACTTACCTCTAACTTCAATTTTTTGCTTGTTGTCCTCACATATAAAAACAAAAACCTTCTCCACAAACAAAATCCATTATCCTGGCCATGACTGCATGCAAGCCAATGGCTATTCTTTTGCTTTCCATTTATTTATTCTGTCTTATCGCTAAGGGATTATCCAGCTCCCTGGGTGTATTAAGCAGGCACCTTTGCTGAGCGCTGTTCTAGTCACTGAAGATGCGGTTGCAAACAAATCAGAGACTTCAGAGAACACATAGCCTAACAGGGGAGAGGA